ACTCCATATGGAGCATATGGAGATTTCCGAGGTTCCTGATGTGGAGACGGATGGTGGCTGGTACTGTGGGCGAGTCTCCAGACACTTGCTGGAGGTATTCCTTTACTCCGGCAGGGCGGATACGGTCACTCAGATGCCTTCCAATAATTCCGAAAATTTCCGTGCGATAAGCTTTTGAGAGCTCAAGGGCACACCGCCGGAACATGCGCTCACCAGAAACAAGGATTACCTGGGGGTTACCCCTGAATAGTGATACCATGGTCCGGCTCGGTCTGGTTATTGACCCAAATTTCCAGACCTGGGACCGGACCCAAGGTCCAGTTCGGGTAAATGTCCGGACTGTGAACCTCAAAGAACCCGAAATGGTGTTGGGTCCAGTCAGGTTCGGGTTTGAACCCTTCAGAATTACCATATTTAGGTACAGTTCAGGCATTGTGGCTCCACCTGGACCTCATTTCAGGTTCGGTCCACCCCAAAGCCAGACCGCAGACCAGAACCTGGGTCCGGTCCGAACCGGTTCTCCCAGGTTCAGGAACCGGACTGCGGCATCACTACCCCTGATTCGATACTCCCACTACAAGATAGTGGGATTACTGGAGGATGAGTGGCCCGCACTCTATCACAGGTCTCACATATCTGGTCCATGTCTATACGCACATCCTGGCCGAATTAGTATCCACCGGAGCCACTATGCGGGACCATAGCAAAGAAGCGGGACCATCTAACCATGACGCGTCCATGTGAATGTGTGTGCATTGGTTATTGGACAATATTTTTTCCCACTTTTACATGACAGAACCAATATGGTGATAAGCCTCAGGATCGTCTGATCCCCGAAAATGCAGACTCAGCACATCGTACAAACCCTCCGGAGCTTATTTGCCACAGCGCTCACACACCTCTAGGCTTCTATGGGCTCTAAAGAATTGTTCTATTTAGCTCTGGACTTCCTAGCATCCTTGAGGCGTACACGGACCCATTCCGCCATTTATCTCCGTGAACAGGAGCTCCAGAGTGACTTAACCAATGCGACTTCTAGATGAATTAGCTCCGGGGCCTGCGGACACTTCTACCGGGGGGCGTCATCCTCATGCCCACCCTCCAGTATCAAAGTTTCCGGTCTCGCTAAGCTTCAGAGAACAACAGAATAGTTTTTGTGTGTGTTTGCCTGTACGATATGCTTGTGTACAAGGCAATCGTGGTAGGGTACCAGTACACTACAGGAGTGGTTATACACTACTGACTATACAGCTTTTATGTAAGTTATCCTCACGGAGCATGCGCACGCTCGCTATGAAGTCACCACTTCCGACATCCAGCACTCACTCCCCCTTGTTTCCATCAAATTACCGAAGGTGCAGATGTATAAGAGTCACCATGAGGCCAGCATCAGTCAGCAAGCGGCCGGAGGTAATTAGCACGTGACCGGCACGTCGTGCGGAGTGATGGGACTGCTTAGGGCAGGTGGCGGAGCGTCGAGGTGACCTCTAGGGGCTGGGACGAGCAAGTGGGAGCGCAAGGGAGTCGTATGGTGCATGGTATAATGGTGGCAAGTGCTGAGCAATCCTGTGGGTAGCGGTGTTTATTTGTTATTTATCTTCGGACGGTTGCAAAGCCATTCCTGTAGTATAAGTTGTACAAAGTAGCATACAGAAAAACAGGTTTTTGCACTTCACCATCTCAGAGAATTAGTGTTACTATCTCAGCGACCCTCGGAGTTCGAAAGCGTCAAACTTAGCAAATTATAACCGATTCTAGCTTTGCCAATAGGCCTGACTCATCGAGTGATTTATCTCTGCCATTGCTTTAATTATCTCAGGTGATTCCTACATAGCAAAATAAAATTAACCAAGTCTCTCTAGCAATTTCTACCACCGCGGGCACGATCCTACAACAGGCATTGTTGCTTGCAGCTTTGATTGCGACTTTTTGGAGATAAATACTCCGGAGTGTCAACTAGTGTTTGTTTCAGGCGTCAAAGTGTTTGTTTTATTTTTCTAGGTCTTCCTATGGACTACCCTACATCGTCTTACTCCTCCTTCCCCCTTGAACTATTAAAATACCCCTCAGTTGTCTCAGACCACCTCCACCCATACCACTGGTGTTAGGTTTATTTCTTTTGGTCCTTGGTGCTTGTTGTGTGTCAGTGCATATCAACGGACAAAGGTCAAGGCAGTTATATAAGTCAAGTGCCCGTCCACAGTCATAACGAAAGTCGCATCTCATTGGATAACAACGCCCATCAACCTACAAGTCAAAAATGAAGAGGGGGTATCACAAGTTAGGGGAACGCACTCACCAGAGGAGACATGGGAGGTAAAGTTAAATTTCAGTTTCACGTTCTGCGCGTTGCAGATCATAATAAGCTTTCTGAAACTTGATACTTCGGCTTCGTCATGGCTGCCGCGGATAACCCGTGACACTCAAGTCTTTGAGCCCGGGAAAGGCGCGGGAGAGATCGATCAATTTCACAAGCTCTGCAGCAAGGCCGTGCATAGTGGATTCGACAACTAATTCTTCCAAACTCGGAATGGCCTCGATCCCCTCAGGGAAGATACTCTTGTGCTCATTGAGGCACATGACAAATGATTTCAGGGATTTAAATGATGAGATGTCGAAACTTGCAGGCGGCATTCCCCTTGTCAGCCAGTCATTTACGCAAAGACAGGTGAGAGCTGCCACATTACACGCGCATAATTGCGTGACCAAACCAGGGGGTACCTCGACAAACTCCAAGGTTTCTAACGCCAGCTTTCCCGAAGTTGGGATTACTTCTTCGGCGTCGAAACAACTGCAGAGGCGCAGGATTCAGAGAGACGGTATGACAGGTAATTGGATCTTGCCGGCAAAACCAATCAGACACAGGTCTCTTAGAGAGGAGAAAACTACTTGGGGGGAGTGGGCCAATGCTGTGCATGGCTGGTTACAAGTCCTGAGCTGGGCATGAGATATTCCCTATTTTACATTGTATATCATAGAGCTGACACAAATATTCCTATCTTTCTTGAAGTATTATTTGAATTACACTAGACCTCTCAGGATCATCTTGTATATTCCTTGATTTGCTATAGACCTCTGAATATATTATGGATTTCCCGCATTTTTCACAATTTTTCTGGCCCTTCTACAGCCTGCAATCAATTCCAGATACCAATGATGTAATGGCTCTGCAGATCGGGTGAACCTGCAGAGAGCCTATGGCATAGAAGGCAGGAGCCAATCCGAGTCCAGGAATCCAAACCGACGCGGCCCGCACACTCAGCCACTGACTACAAGCCACTACAATAGTCAATTCCCACAATAAGCAATAAAAGTAAAACCGCCATGTGGACTAGGACAAGACACACAATCTATAAATTCACAAAGATATCGTTGTAGACCCATATAGCATATGCCCCAGACTACAAAAAATAAAAGAGAGTGTCAACCAGGCTGCTCGCTCGAACACCGACAGCTCTTTGGGTCCCTTTGCTTACTATGTGAATTATGCATGTAGATCATGAATATAAAAACTTCGGATTTTTTCATGCAGTGGTAGTATTGCAATGAGGTCCATTACAGGTGTATATAAATGTTGACCCACCCTGCAGCTTGCAAACTCAGTTTTTCAGCCTGAAAATATTCTCAACCATTCCTCAATATTGGAATATGTGGGAAAACAAATTTTAAGGTGAATGAGCGCAGGATGCACCATCCATGGTTGCGACAGCCAGAATTGGAGGACTGGCCATCCGACGCTTCATCCGCCACTATTCAAATACTGACAAAAAACTGCATTTGGTGCGTACGAGAGCCCGGCTAACGCCGACATGCAATTTCAAGGATGCGATTTCAGGCCCTTGAGCAAAACTGCCTTGACAAGTGAATATAGACAACAGTAATTCATTTCTAGGGACTATCTTAAATACACTTAGATACCATGGAGCTATGGGTACCCTGTAGGGAAGACTGAGATCAGTACAGTGATCTCACTAGTAAAAAGAAACTGCAATGCGTGCAGGGTCAGACATCCAAAGGAAGGTCTATTCAACCCTCATCGTGCCGACCCCCGCTTCCCGCCCAGCGCACCGCAGAATGGCAGCCCACAGCCTCCCATATCAATGGGTTCAACACGGAGAGGGGGGAATATAGATGTTCCGCCTTGGTGGAGTACTCCGCTTGGAGGGCACTAGAGTGGAAACTGCGAATACAACAAAATACACCACATAAATCCACAGCATATGAAGTATTATAGTGTGAATTTTAATCAGAGGTCAAGGTAGGACATGCTGCCGTTGAAGGCATCAAGATTTATCTTGTTTCAAGGACGTGGGAATGACTGTAAGTCCCACTCACCACTTACTAGTACTCTCAGTTGGCTTTCGACGGTACTATCATTGAGGTGATTCTGCAAAATTTGCAGAACCCCCTCACCCCTGTATATCTCGTTCCACACTCAACCAAAAAATACCAGGTAAGCTCAGACAGGTAGATATACACTAGAATACACCTTCTGCGAAGTCAGAATGAGAATGTCTGCTCTGGTTGAGGAGAGGGAGAGAAAACACATTGTCTTGGCCATGGGAAAACAACAGTATCTCCTAGATCTTTCGAGATGAGCTAAATGAACCGACAGGGGCTGGGTTGGGGTATCATATATAAGGCATCTACAGGATGGTATGCCAGCCCGATAGGCGAAATAGTGAGCGTGTCGAGATAGAGAGGTGACTTTGCACATCTCCTGAGCCCATATTGTGACAAAAGCGTGACACCGCTGGCGGCGTGGTCCCCTGTGACCGTGGGTGACATACTTTTGCAGAACCCCCTACATGAACCGGCATCTCAGTCCTACCTTCTACAGACCACGTAAAAATGCAAAAAAATGATGGGGACATTCATTACTAAGTTACATACAATATACAAAATATCCAATAAGAATTCATCAAGTGTGCAGGGTGCTACAGGCCGAATCCGATACTTTTTGCAGAACCCCCTCAATGATAGTATTCTGCTGCAGTCCTACATTCCGCGGTGTGACCCTTAATTATATGGAGATGTTATACTTGATATAGGTTGTGTTTTGTGATGTCTCAGCACTCCATTGAAATTGTCCTGGCGACATGATGACCTGATAGAGGCTGACAGCCCTGACAACTTTCTGTCAGGGCTGTCATCAGGAATGTGTAAAAATGCTGATGTCTGCAAGCACACGTAGGTAGACGAAGTACTAAATAACATGCAGCCACTTAGTTCGTCAACACAGTGAATCATTCTCAAGTTTCCCCGCGGAAATGGGGGTAAACAAATGTTAATCCCTAGTCAGAGTGCGCTTCCACAATTATAGCACAGTCCAGGTATAGTGTAATGGTACACGGCTATCTAGACTCCAAAGTGAGAAGCCGGGTGTCGCAATTTCGAGAAATACACTCACTGTAGGAGATGCAAGAGATAAGGCCAAAGTGAGCTTTACATCTCTTGCTTCACATTTTATTTTGAGTCTCTCAATGCTCGCCGCTTCGTCGTCGGTGTCAGCCTTGGCCAACGATGACAGATGACCCGAAATGCTCAAGTGTACTAGCGCGGGGAATGTGCTGGAGTCACCAAGCAGTTCCGCAAATTGCGAGACAACGCCCGGTGTGAGGATATCGACGAAAAGTTCCTCTAGGGTCGTAATAACTTCAATGCCCCTGGGGAAGCGGGTGGGGCCGTCTAAGAGGTCGAAGCAGAGCGAGATTGCTTTCAAAGACTGGAACGCCCGGAGATCGAGATCGCCCAGCGAGTCCCGCATCCAACTCCTGACACGGAGACAGCTGAGCCCGGACACATTGTACATGCATAGTTTTGTTATCACCTCGAGCGGGACACTGATGAACTCAAGCGTGTCCAATGCCAGGTTTCCTAAAGTTCTCGGAGTGATTTCTTGCACATCGTAAAAGCAACTCCAAAGACGCAAGACCCGGAGAGACGGTAGCGCAGGCAACCTGAGCCTGCCCATAAACCCGATGAGACATAGATCCTGGAGAGACGAGAAGGCTGCGGAAAGACCATGGAAAGCGGCTTCGTAAGAAGCACGTGGATGGCGCTTCAAAACGAGTCTCGTCAGCGACGTCGCACAGGGCGCAACGTCCAGAGCGTGGCGAAGCAACGAGTCATCCCCCTCGCCACAGAGGGTTACGCACGCGACTCCGGATAGCGAGCCCAACAACGTGCAGAGCTGCCGCCCGTATATCACGTCTCGGTGTAGCAACGTCGTCCACTTCGATCGTGCCTTGTTCAATACTGACAGGAGCCACGACTCCCGTACACCCTGATGTCTCGGTCGTACCTCCCCCAGGTCCAGCGCGCACACCAAGCGCGCAAGCTCGGGTCTGCGGCTTAGAGTACGTGCAAGTTTTATTGCGCCTTTCTGATCGTGAATGACTGGGCTCTGGTAGAGCAAGCTGGCGGCGGGCCAGTACCAGTCCCTGCAGACGAGGACGAGCGGGCGCAGGACTCTCTGGCGCTGATCGTAAAAGTCGGCGATCTCGTTCCAGAAGTTGTGCGCGAAGAAGATATGGCAGAACGGACATCGGGTCAGTGGATCGAGGGTATGCCGTAGTATGAGCATGATTACCTCGGGCGGGAGAGAGGCAGCGGGGACTTTGGAATTGTTCGCACGTCTGCGTCGGCGAAACTGCGCTAGTCCGATCTCCATCGTTCGTACTGGGTGAGGTGAGATCTCCGGCTTACCCTCTCCCGTCTCGTTCGAAAGGCGAAAGAAGCCTATCTACACTTGATTCGCGCGTTTCCTACAGGGACTCGGGCGAGACACTCACGTTTAGCCGTCGCAGTACGAGGACCGGCGCTCCCTGACATATCCAAGTCCTTTGACCTACCGGCGGTCCGCAGCCTTCTTCAGCGGTAATTGGTGACGTCTCGCGCGGTGCTCTCAGTCAACTCCGAGACGAACAACCTGGGCGTGCGCCTGGAATTGTGTTCCTATGAGCCCTAGGATGCCAGCAAATCCCCCAAGTTCGGGGGAAGTCGGAGCCTCGGCAGATTTCGGAGCGTCCACATTCGTTCAGGCCCAGGCCGGGCAGGCCCCATATGAGAAATGTGCGTGACCAGACGCGTTCCTCTCACCAGTACGAAAGTACAAGAGCGGGGGAGAATCCGGAGGCGGTTCAGACTTCAGAGGGATGTGGATCCTCTACCAAGGATTCAGAGTGGATCAACTGACAAGGAGCTAGCGTGCAATGTGATATGGTGTCTATATGTATACCAACAGACCACATGAACTATATTCTACGTCCACGAGTCAGTCTCAATGAAGACAGGAAATGGAACCGGAAACGGAGATGCATCTACAAATGGTGTCTATAGTCCAACGTGAGTGAATTAAGCGACAGTGCGATGAACGAGGGGATACTCCATTTAGTGTCGTGAGTAGCAGACCGAGAGGGGAGGGAACCTGCGATGAGAAACGGAGAAGAAAATGTGAATCAGAAGGGAACCAGAATGTGAGGGGGCTAACTATGGGGTAAAGGTGGGGTGAGGAAGATGAATATGCCAGCGGGCATTAATAGCGTATCGACAGCAGTCCAGACTCCAGACGGGCAAGAAAGAAACAAAAAAGGAAGAAACAACGTCCACGAATCAATCAAAGCAAGGAATCTCTAATCCGACGGTCAGAAGCGGTTGCCCACGCCAGGCGGCGGCGCGTCGTACGTCGTCGCGACGCTCCCGCTCGGACTATGCCCGTACGGGTGCGGGCGCGGGGGGAGGCCCGCGGTTTGGTTCCGCGGCGGGGAGTACGCGCGCTCCGGGTACGCCGCCGTGCCCACCACGCGGCGCTCGTCCTGCCGCCCGTGGTCGATCGCGACGATCTCGAACCGCCTCATCTCCTCCCTCTCCCTCTCCCCCATCATCTCCACCCTGCTCGACCGCGCACTGCTCCCGGGACTCCCCTTCTCCGCATCCCACCCCGCGCGTTTCTGGTGCTGGAACGTATCCCGCAGGACGTCGTCCCCGTCCGCCATGAAGATCTTGCCCTTCCAGAACGCGAGCGCGGTGAGCGCGAAGAGGACGGCCCACGCGGCGACGATAGTGATGGTCATGACGAGGTGGACGACGTAGAAGCCGGGGATGTCGAACGTGTCCCCGAGCACGCGGAGCGTGTTGATCCACCCGACTGTGCGTCCTCGCGTCAGCCCCCCTGCCGTGTCTTATGTCACAGTAGAACACGTACCATTCGGGAAGGTCAGCGCCCAGCCTGCATCCGCGCCCAAATGGAACCGGTCGTCAGCGCCGTCCTACCGAACCGCCCCAGCGAGACAGAAACCACTCACAGCCCAGGATCTCGCTCAGATGCTTGTGCAGCTTGAACCAGTACGGCAGGACGCCGAAGACGAAGAAGAACACCGCGAGGCCAAAGAGGAGCAGGCCGGCCATGACGGAGGACGCGTACCAGATCTCGCCCGCGAGCGGCGAGACGAGGTTGTGTTTCGGGAGGCTGGGGGGTGGGCGGGGGAGGGGAAGCGAGCGGAGGCAAGAGAGGCGGGTGCGCGGACAGACAGGGTGAGCCAGGGAAGACCGGGAGCGAGCAGAACACGTACATGTCGCGCGCGTGGTCGCCGAGGTTGATGAGCGCGAGCGCGGTGAAGCCCGGCGGGCCGCACGCGACGAACGCGCCGTTCGCCTGGTGGCCGTCGAGGAAGCCCGTCTGTCATTCATAGTCCGCATCCCGTCAGCGTCGGCATACCCGTATATGCGTGATGGGGAGGAGGACGTACGGTCATGATTCTGCACAAATATCCCATGCCATCAGCTTATCTTATCATACATCAAATATAGGAAGCGGGTGGGGAGACGAGGGAAGCAAGCGTAGGGAGAACAGAAACACGAACGAACGAAACAAAGGCAGGAACGCGCACGCACCGGATCATGTATATACAAATATATATAAACGTCACAAAAAAGCCGAGGCCCTGGAAGAAGTAGCCGACGAGGAGGACGCCGAGCGCACGCGGCTCCTCGGGGGGGACGACCTTAAGGACGTTGAAGGCGACGACGCCGACGAGCATCTGCGGCGCGCCGTCAGTCCCATTACCATTATCCCACCATCACTGCATGCGGGAGGGAGTGGACTGACCATCGGGAATACCTAGAGGCGAAGGAAGGGTGAGCGGGGACAGAGAGAAGGAGAGGGAGGGGGGACGCACGAGGAAGGCCCAGGCGGGTGTGAAGGTCTTGAGGTCGTGCGGCTTGTTGAACCAGATCATGAGCATGGGAATGCACACGATCAGCGAGAACGCCACGTAGACCCTGTCGCGCGTCACCCAATGAGCCGTGAGGGAGGGAAGGAGGGAGACACGAACCAGAAGATGTCGTAGATGAAGCCGGGGTGGACGTGCCCCGAGGGGACGGCGTAGTTGATGGTCCCGATGATGATCGTCGCAAAGGAGAGGACCTGGGTTGAGTGAGTGAGTGTGTGTGTGCGCATGCGTGCGTGACGAGGACGCACGATGAGCGGGACAAAGATGCCCTTGACGGGGTCCTTGATCAGGCGCTTCGCCTGCTGCGGGTACACTGCGGGATGTCAGTACAGAAAAGCAGCGAGACAAGGGGACGCACGGATGGCCTGGAGGAGGAGCGTGGACGAGTTGAGGAGGAAGAGCGCGATGTTGATAAAGTAAAAGATGGTCTCGACGACGGTGAGCGCGCGCGAGTGGTACTTGATCCCGCTCATCGTCACGTACACCGCGCCCGTGCCCATCCCGATCGGAAACTGCGCGGCGTCAGCGGGGGGATTGCACACAGGGGAAGGGTACGCACGGCCTGCCAGGACCAGCCGTGGATGCGGCGCGCGAGCGAGCTGACCTGGACGTCGGCGGCAGTCGAGGACGCGTGCGCGGGGTTCATTTGGTTGAGCATGGTTGTAAGACTGAATCCCAGATTAGTCTGACCGGGGAAAGGAAACGAGGAAAGAGAATAAGGGGGAAAGCGACAAGGAAAGAGGGAAGAAAAGAAAGCAGACTCTATAAGCTCAGCTCACAGCGTCGAGCCCGCACAGCAGGCTAATAAGAAAGGGAAGAAGAAGAAAGAGCTCGCCGCCGCCGCGCGCCATTATATGTCAGATAGCGAAGCTGGCATCACGTCCTTTGCACGTTTCTGCTGCGAGCGCTGCCGCCAAGAGCCGTCGTCGAACAGGATGCTGGCTTGGGACCTCCACACATCGCCTTTCTTCCTCGTTCTTGGCTCTTGGCTCGGTGTCAAGCGAACCGAGAAGCTGCCCCCGTACGGTTGCCGAGCAGCGCCAGGTCTATTTTCCCAAAGTGCATTCCACTTCGTCGACGTGCCAGTTACCATACGTCCGGCCGTAGGGTCCATAAGTGGCTGTGCAGAGTCTGACGACTCTCCTGACCACATCACCGGATCGCTTTTCCAGCGTATTTCATGAGCTTGTTGATGCTTTGGACGACCTGTGTATCACTTTACAAAGTACAAGATGCGGCTACAGGCCACAGAAAGCATGCCTGAGTGCACTAGAGAATACCTTGGGAGCAGTGTAGGAATCATCGGGGTCGCGGTGAGACTCCGGAAACTCCAGGAACACTCGCCGCCGGGAGTGCTGGGCTTCTCCACGACTGCGGCGCCACTTCGCTTCTCTATGGGGGTTACTGCTTGAATCTGTCAGTGAGTTGACCATCCGATAATGAAGTACTGTATGTAGTAGCAAAAACTGGGACATAGTTCAGTTACTCAACTTCCCGCATACTCAGGCTCACTGGTATGTATAACTGTTGCTGTCTTGCTGAGCTTCCTCCAGAACGTGTGGGAGTCGGGGTCCGGGGTACAGTCCTGAGCATCGGCTGCGATCTCCACCCAGATGTTCCTTCCTAGCCGTGAGTCTTCTGTACAATGGTAAGTAAGCCTTCAATAACAAGTGGAACCACTGGGGTTTTATTTTATTTGCTGCTGCTTTTGATTAGGAGCAAAGGCTGAAAGGCGACACAAGGAGCTGCAGTGCCCAGGAGGTCTCCCAGTCCCACGGGACCGAGATCGGTACGGGGTCCGGATACGTAAACGCGCGCACTTGAGCAATGACGTTCGCAAAATAGACCTGGCGCTCCTCGGCAACCGTACTACCCCCGCGATAACGATTATAACACTCACTGCATCCACGAAAGACAGATGTTATTAGATGATTATATTCCCAGTCATGACCAGCACAAATGAGTGTAGTGCAGACAAAATCGAGTCTCAGTCCGCCATTGCGTCGGACGCGCACCGACCCAAAGGAAGCAGAGAAGCTCACGACGTTCAGAAGCACCCGACGAAGAAGCACTGCATCGACGCTCGTCCGCAGCTGCTTCCATTTCGCGTCCGTTTTCGGCAGTCAATGAGCTTGCATCGTAGCGGTGCAAGCACCAGTCTCCGACTGCCGAAAGGAGAGTGTAATGTTGAGATATTGAGAGACTTCATGTGAACAATGTATTTATGAGATGGGGAACATATATTATAGAAGTATACTCATGGGTGATGACTCTGAGGATGCTTATGAGAGGAGTACAGTTGAGTCATTCTTAACCTGTACTTCTCATAACCCATAGCATTTTGGCATCCACCAACTTGGTAGATAGTAGATCAGTATCAAAAACCACAGTATGTCACAATCTCATGACCTATATTCCCTGAAAACCCATAGCTTTCGGCTTTGGATCGGTCCACCTACCATTTATGAATAGTGCTCCTATTACATTTCGAGTAATTTCGGATGTGAGAGGTATAACCCCTGTTAAGCGCTCGCTTTCTCGATCACCAGAGATCGGAATTCTATGCCGCCGTGAGGAACGAGCAGAGGCATAGAATATAGACTTTGTATGAATGTGAGTGTTACGCAGGTCACAGTGACAGCTCCTGCTTTCGACGGCGACGACGCGCTCACTCAAGCGCGCTATATGGGCTCCACATAGGCTACCTTTTGCTTTTCCCTCCCTGCCCACCCTTATGTTTGATAAGCTGCAGATTGTACAATGCCTGGTAGCTTTCCTCTCTCCACACTGTTTTTCCCACTGGGTTTTCAGGTGGCATGAGAGGTTTTGAGGCACCCATGGCTTTCATTGCACCCTTGTGTTTTCTCATGACATGTATTTATTACTGGGTCGTGGATGTGGTTTTCTAGGCGGGAGTCCCGGCTCAGCCACGATCTCCAAACCCCCGCCTGGTGGCCCATTTGCGGCGGGAAGCCCTTCGGGCTTTCTCCCGTAATGCTGTGTACCCCCCCTTCATGTGTGACCTGCCAGCGGGAGGAATACAAAGTGCCCTATACAACTACTGAACAGTAAACCGATTCTAGAGGAATCGGAAAGTCTCTCACGGCGCGCACGGCTTGTATGGTGGAGCGTACACTAGCTGCGGCACCCGTAGCCACTTCGGGGAGGTGTAACTAGTATTCAGAATTTTAATTTATCTTTACCTTGGAGGTCAAAGCTCTCCCGACACTGCGCCCCTTGTCCTGACTCTCGGGTGGCGGCGACTGCGCGCCGCCACCCTCGGCCAGGACATCGAGGCGAAGTTTGTTCTCCAAATGAGGCAAATGTAGATGCATTAGCCAATAGAATGCGATTATCCAGGATTACGGAAGCGTATTACTAAGCAAAAGACCGAACTACATGTACTGTCAAATACTTACAGTGCCTTGCATAAGAAACTGAACATCGCATTTCCGCGCGCGTTGTTTGTCCGCGCCAAATATACCCTTTTCGGGTATCAGCAAATGTGCGGCAAAGACCCATCGAGAGGGAGGGTAGCTAGGCATACAGGTGGGGGCAGAGTATAATGATTTACAGCCCTTAGTGTAGTAGTAGAATATACATTTCATGCATTAGAGCATATTCGGTGTGGTAATTACTACGGGTGGAGCTCCCAAGTAAGGGAATTTTGATGGATTTAAGCCACCCCATTGGCCCCACGCTGTGGTAATTACCACAGCGAATATGCTCTATTCTCTGAAGCCTTTCGAGCCGTCTCGGGGCGTCTGCGAGTCCCTGCCCAACAAACGGTCCCGCGAGAGGCCTT